ATATTTGTCGAAAATGTCTATAATATATATATATATATATATATATATATATATATATATATATATATAGTGACTCTACGGAATTCTAGCTACGACTGAAAGCGTCCGAATCTACGTGAAAGAAACTGAACGAACGAAAATATCGATTCAGCACTGTCCACTCGATACCTCTAATTTGATATGATCGCGCTGGTCCGTCATACTTAGTAACACAACGAACGCGACGTAACGTTCACTCATCGACATAAAATGAAAGAAATAAATCGCTTCGCGAAGTATTATCTGGCCGATAAAATGTGAAGATTCGATGAACCAGTGAATAGTAACGCTAAATCCCGTCTTTCCTACGCTCGTGCGAAACAATTCGAACATTCGTAACTCGTTTTCTTTACAGGCCTATCCGAAATATACAACAAACATAACAGGGAACGTTTAAACATGTACAATATAGAATATTCGCAAGGTAACAGCGGCTACTATACAAAAAGAAAGAAGAGACATTGGTGAAACGGAAAAGAAAACCACGATGTTCGTGCTACGTGAATCGACTTTGAAGAACTTCGTGTCCACTCGAAATCGATCGATCAATCGTCTTCGTTTCCTTTCTTTTCTTTTCATTTCTTATTTTCCTCTTGTCATTCATCTTTTATTCGCGACACGACCAATCGTGATACGATAAAACGAGAAAGTGTCTTCGTTCGAGCTGCCGGCTCGTGAGAATCGACGGTCGTCGCTTTTGTTCTTCGGGAAATTCGCGATTTCAAAAGTAAAAATTAAATGCAGCCGGGATACGCGCAACGCATTGTACGTGTGTACTCTCTGTATCCGTGTGTGTGCTCGTACGTGTCTGTGTGTACGTGTGTCTCCGTGTGTATTTATAATTATATTTATATTTATATATATAGACTTTTATATACCACACTATCGATAAACTCATTCATCCGCAGAGTGACACAATATTCGCAAATCCCTAATGCCTCGACAATGTTCGTTTTCCAACTATTTACAGGAGAGTCTTTCTATGTTATATCGAGTCCTTAATCCATTATACACAATACATGTAGACTTAGATTAGTAATAGTAGCATTACGTGAAAGCGAGCCCAAAACGGCACCGGTCATTCGCGATTTTTCTTTTCCTTTTGTTTTCATTCTTCCCTCTTATCCACTTTATCCTGAACACTTTTCTCTTTTACTGTGTTTCCCTGTCGCTATCCTCTTCCTATTGCATCTTCTATTCTCCCAACATCCAATGCTCGATGACGCACGCGATAATTCTACGCACTCGCATACGCGTTCCTCGTTTGATCCCTTTCTCTCTCTGATAAAATGACAAAATTCTTCCATCACTGGCGAACGAGTACGGATGTGGAACGATGCTGGATCGAGAATAAAAATTCGCGAACCGAAGGATTTCGTTTGCCCCGGCAACGGGGGGTCGTGTAACGCGGCATGAACACGCGCGGGCGAGAACTCGCTTGTCCTAAAAGCTAACTACGTTACACGCGGAATGAACGGAGTATCTAACACGCAGGAATGAAGAAATCGCAACGAAGAGAAAGAAAGAAAAAAGAAAAAGAACGATCGCGACCACGTGCTTTATTTAGACGAATCTTTGGACAATCGAGCGACACGATCCAAGAGCTGAAACGAATTCGACCGGCTCTATTCGGAGCTAATTCGGACGCGATGCTTCTCGTCATGCTGATATTACTAATTAAGAGTCGAGCTGATATAGACGTCCCCGATGAGATTAATATCTTCCTAATGGAAATAAAATGTAGAGTTGTCAGAGACGACGTCGATCGACGTGTCTTACGATTAACGGCTGTGCCCGATCGGCTGCCTCGCGATTATTACTGTCGCTCGATAAATGCTAGAAAAACAATCGATCTCTCGCGGTTCCTCGTCACTGGCACACGAACACCGTCGCCACAGCGACGGAAGAGTCTCTTTCGTCGAGCAATTAATACCCTGACAATTAACGGAGCGCCGATCTCTCTCTAAACGATCTATCTACACGTTCCCGGGAACGAATTAATTTACAAAAATATTACAAACAAACGTACATTCCGTGTATATGGCTACGCGGGTCGAACGGAATAATATCACACACGATCGTCTCCCGGTCGCTGCAGCGCGATTAAAAACGGCACGCACGATTTTTACATACATTTTAATGGCGTCAACGACCACTGAATTAATAAATTAGACTCGACACCAGGTGACCACGCGATCGAGGTCCTCGATAATTCGCTCTCGTACCGACCTGAGCACGCTTTCGTTCAAACTCGTCTTCTGCTTATCCGTGTGTCTCTATGCGTGTCTCTTATGTACCGTATATATCACGTGTGTGCGCACGTGTGTGTGTGTGTGTGTGTGTGTGTGTGTGTGTGTGTGCGTGTCTTCGTTTCGTGTAAATGAACGCGTGTGTGTTCAGGGGCTCGAAGATCGACGAGTAACGGGGCCCCCCGAAGTTCGTCGATCTTCGTTCTTTCGATTCTTGGACGCGAGACGATTCTGTCCGATCGGACGCAGTCCCATTTCTCTAAAAATTCGGAACCGAGCTTGATTACGCGGGACATAGGGGTGGGTATCGGTTGAATCGGGGGGTTGAAGGTTCTGTTGGATGGAGAACGGAGAACAGGGCCATCGACATCTAATTTCCTTATAATTTCCCAGATACGTATACGTATTAATATATGTATATGTATATGCATACATAGTAATTTAATTTATTTATAAGTGCGTTCGCGGCATCCGCTTTCTTTCCCTTTGTTTCCCCCCTGCTATTTCTCGCCGCCCCTCTCGACCGATCGTCCTCGATCTCGTTTCGAGCCTTCTTTACCGCGATCTCTCTCGTTTCGTTTGTTTCGTAGAAAGAAAAGAAAAAGAAAGAATTGTCTGGGCGCGTTGAAAACGACGAAGATCGGTAGCGCGCGCGCGCGTGTACGTTCTACCTCGACGTTCTATGATCGTCGATCGTTTACGACACTACTTACATTTAATTTTCCCCTAAACTATACAGTGATTAGCAAGAGAGCAGCGAACGGATACGCCGGGATCGTGGCCGTGCTTTATACGCGGACACGTGTTGCCTTAAGGTTAAGGTTGTCTGATATAAGGAAGGGATGTTTCCCTTTCCGCATCACGTCTCGAGACTTCTCGTACTCGCAAGATTCCTAATTAACACGAACGATATATTTAAGACTAAAGCGTCAGTCATTCCCGCGCGTACCCAGGACACTGCTACCACCACAGCTTCGTTTATTTATTCCTTAAACTTAATTCCAGCCTTCCCTACCTCTTCGTCGCTCTTATTATTACCTTCGAGACGTTCTGCGTGTGCCCCTCTCGAAACGCGTGTTGCTTCTTTTCATCGTAAACGGATCGTGCGAGAAATTCGAACAAAATGACTCGATAGAATCGGCGGCAGCTTCTTGCGAAAAGATCAAATCGTCGTGGTTACTTTTCTATTTCCTTTTTGCTTTCCCTCCCCTTTCCGAATAAATAATTGGTCCAAAAATGACAGACGCGATCGGTACACGCAGAAACTTGTGAGTCGTACACGCGAGCGCGAACGCGATACCGAAAGCGGAAAACGAGCCAGGACCAAGGGGGTCTGTAGATAGCACTGTCTTTCCTCTTTTTCCTCTCCCCATGTATTCGTTTAAAGGGTTATCGGTTAGCATAATTCGTCGTAACGCTACGAACGATCGCGGATGCAATTCGTTTTCCCCTCTTCGATTTAATCGCTAATGCAATGTACACGAAAGAGAAAGAGAAAGAGAGAGAGAGAGAGAGAAAGATATATGTATATGTATATATATTTATGTATATATATATATATATAGAGATATAACCGCGGTTCCGAAAAGAAACGGAATTTGAGAACAGAAAATACATCGTTGTTCGCAATTGCTTGAGTAAGGATATGGATCGAAGGATCGCGCCGCCTATATCACGATATTCGCCGATTCTCGTTCGACGTTTCGTCGCGATCGATCACGCACAGTGTACGTTTTCTTATTCGTTTTCTTATTCCTCTTTTGCCTTTACCTTTAAGAGCCGCTCGATAAAACGTATCACGGCTTTGGATATGATAAATGGGGATTCTCTTACGAAGGAGGAGTGGAGGGCTGGGTGGTCCTAGGGGCCTTCATCGTCTTCTTCGTGTCTTCTTCTTCTTCTTCATCTTCTTCTTCTTCTCCTTCTTCTACTTCTTCGCCTTCGTCTTCCATTTCTTTCTCTTCTTCGCCATCCTTCTTCCCTCCTCGTTCATCCTACTATCTGGCTTTCTGGTCTTGGCTTATCTATCGGCGAGGAAGAGAAACTTCCTCTTCTTCTTCTTCTTCTTCTTTTTCTTATTTTTTTTTTCTTCTTCCTCTCCTTTACGTTCTTCCATCACGACCGTACTTCGACGCGACAGCTCGAACCTATTCGCTTCTCGCGGAACGATACTACGCCTCCATCTGATCCTCCGGGGTCATTATGTCGGGCGCCATCGACAGGTCCTCGGCCATGTCTTCGTCCTGGCCCGAATCGTGCCCGTGACTCTCGGGGTACTCCCTCTCGTCCATCTGATCCTCTTCACCCTCTTGATCCGCGGGCGCGTCGACCAGCTCCCGCTTTATTAATCTCGTGAGTTTACCCCCCTCCGGGCTCTGGCCTTCCTGGTTTATGTGCACGGCTGGTTCATCCAACGGTGACCTGTCGATTTTGCGGAGAAACTGCTCGGTTACGCATGTCGGACCACCCTCTCTATACTATGCCTGGCTACGCTTTTTCGACTAGTGGATGGAAATTGAGGCAAGCTCCCGGAAAACGTTTCTGACTCGTCTGTGGTTTTGGTTAGTAGGAGATTCGGCGTACGTGTCGAGTAAAAATACGGAGAAATGTTTAAGAGCCACGAGGATCGGGATGATACGCGAGATCGCGCGCTAAGGGTTCTTTCACTCACATTAGATCGTTATGGGCTAGGACGTGCTCCTTGTGGGGACTCGTTGTCGTCGATGTGCACATCGAGTTGTTTAGAAATCCCATATTGGAGTCCCCGAGTGCCGCCTGGAAATACTCAAATTGCATTAGATGATTAGTCAGGAATATTCCGTTCCATAACCTAATCATCGAGATTACGAAAGATACGTTAATGTGTATTGCACGTGTTTTAATTCAGTGGACCGGGCTGGATGGTTAACAGTTACCTGGAGATTGGCATTTAATGCGTCACCGTACATGGTCGGGCTATGCGTCAGGGTTGGACTTTTCGACGGGACACCCCTACATATTGAGAGAGAAAATTTCTATTAGTAATCGTCGAAATACGGCTCATCGATAGTCTCCTGAAAAGAAACGCGTGTATATAAGCTCTTTTCTTTTCGTTTTTTTTTTCTTTTTCTTTTTTTTTTTTCTTTTTTCATTTTTTATTTTCTTTTTTCAGTTTGTGTCGATGTATACGGGTGGAATAAATATTTTCGAGAATTTGGAGATTTCGGGGCAGGTGTCGAGGTGGCGGGAGAGGGCGGGTAAAGATAGAGCTTCTGTGTACAATGTGTGCACGTGTGATCGAGTTTTCGATATGTAGAGGTATAATAGACAGAGAAAGAGAGACAGAGAGAGATAGAGAAAATGGAAAGTGAAAGAGACAGAGACAGAGAGTTAGAGAGAAGTATAATATGAAAAAATGTATACATGTATATAATATATTAAAAAAGTGATAAAAAAGAGTGAAAAAAGAGTTCGAAAACTCTTACCTATTTACCAGTTTCGCTCCTCACTCGTCCAACTTGATCGGCTTGGTTGAGATTGAGCGAGGTTAGGTCAAAAAATGTAGAGAAAAATGTAAGAAAGCGCTCCCGTTTCGTCGGTCTTTCCTTTAATCGAGTAAAGAGATATTCCATTTTGCCTTTAATTCAATTTCTTGGTGATCCGAAACGATGTCGTTGCTTATAAACGGCTCTGAGGCTTACCTGTGCTTACCCGTTTATAGGTTCCATCGAAATCCTTAAAGAATCCATTTAGGTATCGAATGCCGACCGAGAGACGTAACACCTTTTCCAAGCGACTAGGGTCGAGTGGAAAAGGTAGGCTTTCTCTTGCAAACGACGATGAGCGAATGATAAATTCGTAACGGTATCGATAGCGTCCCAATATTACAGTTAATTTCAGCACCGAGTGACGATTGCAAGAGACGAATTGCTCGCATGCGAAGAAAAAAATATAAGAATGAAAATAATGCCTAGAGCCGTTTATCAAGTGACTAAGAGCGCTGCGAGTTAAAGAGAACAAGAGAGAAAAAGACAGAGAGAAAAGATAGCAGAGATAGAGAGATAGAGAGAGAGAAAAAAAGACAGGGAGAGTTAGACAGAGAGATAGTAGAGAGAAAGTGAGAGAATGTAAGAGATCGTATAAAAAGAGAGAAGTAGAAAAAATGTTAAAAAACGTTTTTAAAAAGATGATTAGTAAAAAAGTAGAGAAAAATTACCGGAAGTTGCAAAGTTAGTACGTTAACGGTGAGGTACCTGAGTTAGAAGAGAGTGGTCGTAGCGATGAATGGAGAATTCCGTATCATCCGAGATCTTTCTATTCTTTTTCTTTTTTTCTTTTTTTTTTTCTTTTTGCAGTTTGTGACGCTTAATTTACACAATTTACACATGCGCGAGTAGCCCTGACACACATTATCAGTCACACCGAAAACCATTCTCACGTTGAAAAAGCGTACTAAAGGCGAACAGAAATAGAGAAAACGACGAACGCCGTAACAGAGAGAAAGAGAAAGAGAGAAAGAGAGAGACAGAGAGAGAGAGAGAGAGAGAGAGAGAAAAAGGGAGAGAAAGAGAGAAAGAGGGGCAGTGAAAAATAAACTAAACGCATAACTCAACAACGCCTTCTCTCATTAAACGCTAATTAAAAAAGAAAATGACGCAAAAGCTTCACCTTCCTTTTACCAACTATCGTCAACTTATTTGCTCTTTCCATTAACTACGCTACAGCCTGTTCCTTCCTTTCTTTTTCCTTTTTTTCTTCAGACAGCGGAACGGAAAGAAAAAAAGGTGGGGGAGGCAGAAAACAAAATGGAGGAAAAAAGAACCCAAAACGATACGACAAACGCTTCGTTCACGCACGATCGTCATGAACGAACGAAATGAAAAGGAAACTAATAGCGGCGGCGCATCGATTAAACCAGCTTGTACAGCGAAACACAGGAAGAAAAATCTGAAAACGAAGGGTAACGAAACGTTTGTCCACGCAAACACTTTCACATTCTCCCAAGACACTGCAAACGCCACTACGTAAGCACCATACAATTATAAGCACAGTGTTTTTATTATTTTCAGTGGTAAGGATAAGTCTTACGGGGGAATTTTCGCTTTTCATTTTTTCTTTTTTTTTTTTTTTTTTTTTTATTTTTCTGTATATTAACTCGTTATTATAATTATATATAATTTTTTTTTATCTTGAATTCTTATGGGAACGAATATTAGGATCCTTGATTATCCATGCGAGCAACCACTAAACACATCAGAGATCCTGCAGCACGGACCAATCGTCCTGTGGCTGGGCTCCTGCAGGATCGTCCAGGATTTAAGCTCTCTCGGGTGTGCTAGAGCCTCGGGCTACGGTACTAGTGAGACGTATACGGGGATGTACTATATGAGGGCTGTTTTGGACGTCACAAGCAGAGGTGCGCAGAATTAACCGTTAACAAGCTGGAGCTGCAAATTTTAATTGGACGGAATTCCCTGTTCCCTTACGTTTACATTGGATCCGCCTTTCTCTTTTTCATACCGGCTAAATTAGCCAAGAAACAGCGCCGTTAGAAAAATTCCCGCCGTAGCATGACACATTGCGCACCTCTGATGAAGATCAAGGAAGGTTGAACAGGTGCTACTTATCCGGTTTGTGAGGGGACGGGTACTAAAGGGCGTTCGAGGCAGGCATGATGCGGAATTCGTTTCCTGGGGATTGGGTAAACTGCTTAGAGCCACTCCCTGCTGCCTTGGAAGTCATTTCCCAACGAATCGTACTCGAAATTCCACCGCGGAGGATTCCACGAAGCGTTCGCGAGCCGGCAAGTAGAATGGGTCGCTGCGCGTCAGACGCGACGCGTACCAGACGTACGATTTATCCACGAACGATGCGCTTTATTCCATCTTTTCTTATCTTTTCTATTCTCGTTCCACGTTGACGAGATCGCGCGAGGCAGTCGAGATAGGAGAGAATTAGTTTCGACGTTGCAAAGAAATTTGAAGAGACGTACGACTGAACGACAAAGGCAGCAGGTTCGAGAGGGCTAGTTTAGTGGTTCGTTTATGTAGGCAACGACCAAGCGAAAACGTCCCGGTCGCCGCGTTACAAGAGAATACCGCGGTAAGGTCAGAACGTCGCGCCAGCCAGCCAGCAGAATTCTAAAAAGTGGTAGTGCTTACTGTGTGGAGAGGTGGGGTGGAGTGGGTGATGGGGTTGGGTCATATTTCCTGGGGCGGCCGCGGGACAGATGCCGCCGCTTTAAGAACTCGGCGTCGTCCACCATCCAGAATGACCCGAAGTCGTCCTCATAGCGCACAAAACACTTGTGCAATGATAGATTGGTGCGGATCGCGTTCTGTATACACAGACAAGACCACCAAGAAATAGAGAAAAAGAGAGTAAAAAAGATAAAGGTTGTTTCTGCTTGTTGCTTGTTGAAACCTATTTCGTTTGGTAATCTGCTACTTTATCCTTCCTTTTCTAGCTTCTACTCTTTTCGTTCGTTTCGATTATCCTTTTGTCTTTCCTTCTTTACTTTTTTTTTCCTTTTCGAAATACTTTTTTTCCCCTATTCTTTCCTTCTTTTCATTTTTTCTTTTTTTTTCCTCCGCCGAGCTCTGCGCTCTTCTCCATTCCGCGTACGTTCTTAGAGGCGTCTAAAGACACGCCGCGTCCTCGAGTGGCACGACCGTTTCCCGAACGCGAAACGATCGCGACTCTCGATCTCATGCACGTGTTGCGACGAGACACGCGCTGTAAACACAGCTCGTATTAACCTCGTCGTCCTCTCCTACCAAGAGAGGAGAGAGAGAGAGGAATTCGATGATCGAGCGGGTCCTCGACTCGATCGAATCCCGGCGTTCCAGAGAATAACAAAGACAGCATAGACTCGCAAAGAAGGGGTAGAGAAAAAACAAACGTAAAAGTAATACGTAGTAAGACGGTTCCTCTCACTACCTGACCAAGTGCAATTCTGCGGTTCTCACTCTGCACTGGCATATCCCGCATCCGGCTTCCGGGTATTCGAGACTAGACTCGGGCCAGAGAGACTTGGCCCTGCCCAATTCTCGATCGGTTAGTCGCTGCAAAGCCCACATGCTTGTTAAAAAGCACACACCACGGTTTTCTACGGTTTCCTTCCACACGAGCAAAAGTATTCGGCCTCATTCGCACAATCATTCCCGCCTGCTCCTTTCCTCCTCCTCCTCCTCCTCCTCCTCCTCCTCCTCCTCCATCTCATCGTCGAATCTCATGATCCTCGAACCCACATTCGCACACGTTCACTCGTCATACTGACGGCTACCATCGCACACGAGAGACGGGCAAGTAAGAAAATCACACGCACGCGGGACCAAACACAATACAAAGCTAATTTCCCGAGTACAATTCGAGGAAAGGAATTTTTATTCCACCGAATCGACTGAATTTCACTTGGAATTCTTCGAGTCAAGTATCGAGTTGAGAATTTCGAGTCGGAGAATGAAATCGGAACGATTGTAACTCGGGAAGCTCGATGTTAGCAGACAGACGTACGGACAAACGACGCAAGCGAGTTACAGATAATACAGATTATCATGGCGTACACAGGTGTATGAGAAAAAAGAAACGGTTTATATATACACACACGCACACAAATCTATACGTATGAATGCGCACGGATAAGGTACACAAAAGGTCTAGAGACATACAGATATATGTATACGTATCAAAGAGAGCAAAAAAAAAGAAAAAAAAAGAAAAAAATACAGTGAGGGTAGGGCACGATATATATAGGTATCAAGAAGTAAGTACATCGTACAGAGATGAATAAATGCACAGAAGAGCGTGCGTGTATGTGCGTATACATACATATGAGGCTTGCACACGCACGCGTTATGCGCGCGTACACACGTCAAAAACCTTGTTAAATATGTATATATAAATAGCTATGAAAAATACGTGAATATAGATATATATATATATATGTAAAAGAAGCTATATATAAATATGTATACATATATAAAAAATATAGAACGTTAAACACTATTGAATATATATATAAATGTATATATAAATATCGACATATATATAATGTATATATATAAAAATGTAAAAATACGTATATTAATATATATATATAAAAGATAAAAAGATTGTAAAAAACTTGGCAGTATAAACATGAAGGGCGGGGAGAATGGGTTAGCGGAACGAGTATGTAATTAGAGAGTAAAAGCGAATAAGTGAGAGTATGTATAAATATATCTATATAAATATCTATATAAATATGTAAAAAGACACAGATAGAGAGAGAAGAAATATATAGAAATATAATATATATATATATAAATATATATTTAAAAAAAACAAAGAAGGGAACTCGTTGACCAAGGACAAGGGGAGAGAAGTAAAGAGAAGGGATGCGACCGAGGCCGATTATTTCGGATTGTGGTCTGAACCGGTTATTGGTAAATCGATTTTGGGGGGGCCAGGAGATTATTATATAATGATATCGATAGAAAGAGACAGAGAAAGAAATAGATATATATATAATATATGTCGTAAATATAAATATATAGAAGTATAGATCTATAGAGACGGAATAAAGAGTATAAAAATCGCGGCTGTAAAATTTTGTTTTTGTCGGTGGGACGGGGGCAACGTACCCGGTCGTGCTGCAAGCGCGTTGAGGACGTCTCTTGCAAAACTCCACTTCGTCCACCGTCCATACGGCGCCTTTCACGTTTTCGACTCGCATGAAACATTTGTGGAGAGACAGGTTGTGTCGCACTGCGTTCTATACAAAATAATACACAGACTAAATAAGCAACGCAAAAAACGAACGAAGCCAACTCAATCGCGAGGCCGGCTGTCGATCGGGGAACACGATTCGATGGCGTGTAATCTTTCTTTTTTGTTTTCTCTTTTCTTTTGCTTTTCTTTTCTTTTCTTTTTTTTATACAGTCGGTATTTCCGTCATCCCCGGCGTCAGAGAACGACGACGACGAAGACGACGACGACGACGACGACGACGACGACGACGACGACGACGACGA